TTCTTCTTCTTCTTCTTCTTCTTCTTTCGCAAAATCATCTTAACATTAGTGTCTTTCCACTTTCTTAAGATTACAAGACGTATCTATACAAAATCATCGTGATCTAGCAAAACTATTTTTTCCCTTTCTACCACCAGCCCCCCCCCTCTCCTTCCACCGCTTCTTCGCGTATTTAGATTTTTTGTCTCCACTTTAGTTACGGATGATCATCAATGAAACCGTGAAAATCTCAGACCCAAGACTGGCAGGACGACGATCAAAATAGAAATTTTTACAATTCCAATAGCGTCGTTGCCTATCTATCTCTATCGATATATCGAATAGAAATGATCTTTTTTATTTCCCCGTTCGAGACAATCGTCAAGTTTGAAAAGACTTTCGCGAAGTAAGAAATAGCTGCGTCACGAAATACGACGACGAGCTTGAAAATAAGCGTGAAAAATAAGAAAAGAAAAAGAAAAAGAAAATAATTCCGATGATGAAAAGAACACAACTCTTAAAGTCATAACGTCATTTTTCCGTTCCTTTCAATCTCGATCGACATTCTTCTTTTGAAGACGAAAGCTAAAATGAGAAAAAAATGTGAGGGATAGAAAATAAAGAGAAGAAAGAACGAGGTGATAGATAGATAGATAGATAGATAGATAGATAGATCGACTAATTCGATCTATCGATCGATTATCGGAAGTTAAACGACAAAAATGATTGGTGTAGAGGTGGTGGTGGTGGTGGTGGTTGTTGGAAAATACGCGATTGAAATTCTCTAGAATACAATCGTGGTTCGTGTTACTCGCTCGTGTTGCTCGTAAAGCTTCGATCGAAAGGATCCTTTGGCAAAGGAATTATCCTTGAAAATAGGTAGAAAAGGATACGACAACGTGTGGCACGCACACACACACATACACGTTACCTTATACTACGAGAAAAAGAGAAAGAGAAAGAGAACGAGAGAGAGAGAGAGAGAGAGCGAGATGGAGAGGGGTGGGGGGGAGGGGGAGGGAAATTTATCGTGCGAGAGCATAAAATAGCGCCGACTATTAGTACCACGGTGCAATTTTCCAGTCTCGGCTTGGCCGCTTCGTGCTTAAAATAGAACCTTTCATTTGCTGAAAAGAAGATTGTGCGGCTTGCCCTGCGAAGAGAGAGAGAGAGAGAGAAAGAGGGTGGTGGGGGGGATGGAAAGGGAGAGACTAACCGGCAAGGAGGCTGCCGTAGCTTTTTAATTGTGGCTTTCAAGGCAAACTAAATGCCGGCCATCGCAAGGAAAACCCACGTGGTGGCTAAGACGACGATCGTGTTAAGAGTTGAAAACGTTGAACGAACGAGAAAGGGGGAGTTACAACCCCGTATTTGGGATTGCACGACGATTCGAGCAAATCCTCTTTCCTCGTGAGTATTAATAACAATGATGTAAAAAAATCATCTACTCTTTTCTACCTTGAAACATTATTGGCAAACAGTCTGCTGTTGTTACTTCTTGATGTAGACAGAAACATGAGAAATATATATGCATATTATATATATGTATGAAAATAAAGAGAAGAAAAGAAAAAGTATATTAACAGGTTAGAAGATAAAGAAACATAATCACCATCTGTACTTTATTTTTTGTTTTTGTTTTGTTTTTTTTTTTTTCAATAAAACGCTCGTTAAAATTCGAACCTAGTTCATTCGGCTAACGTTAACTCGTCTCTGAAATGAGTTTCCGATTGGCGCGAACTTGTACTCATCAATCAAACGAAGTGAAATAAATAATTCCTTTCACGAGTACGGACAGACAGGTTGGAAACTTAATGAAATGGAATATTCGCGATGGAGAAGGCTTTCCCGTTCATGACCTCTTCGGTTAGCTTCGAAGAATTAAAAAAGAATCTTCGGATAGAGACAGAGGATGGAAGGAACGGGGAGGGAGACAGACCTCGTTGAGAAAGTCGTGTCGATGATTTTCCGACACGAACACGTATATAAATTACCACCACGTGCGTGTATTATTATTATTATTATTATCTTTGTAGAACTTTGAGATCTTATTCATTTGATCAATGCCAAAACTAAATTGAAATTAATCGCGCGTTCTTCTAGTAAATAAAAATTAATATTAAAATTTCTTTTTTCTTTTTCTTTTTTTCGAATCTTTGGATCTCGATTGATCGAACGAACCAACGAACGATTATAAAATAACGCGAGATTTATTTTGCATTTGCGATTGAGACCAAGGGACGACGACGACGACTCTCCATAAACGATTCGCAAACGAGATGGCGATGCCTTTTTAGGAAACCGGCAGATACTGAACGAAAGTCGTTACGAATGAACGATATATCATCGGTGGCCTTGTTTTAACGAGGATATGACGGCAATTCGCTACCGTGCGGTAGGTAAATCTGACTAAAAAGTGACAAAGATCAAAAGCTACAGAATTTATAACGATTTAATATATGTTATAACGAGATATTTACTTATATGGGGATAAGGAGTGGGGTGGGGATGGGTGGATAGGGAAGAGGGAAAAATAAATAAGTTGATAATTTTTTTTTAATAGTAAACAAAATGTGAAGGGAAAAAAAAGTAATAAATATCAGGAAAAATAGGATTGACAATTTTTATACGAGTTTGATATACATAATAATATATATATATGTAATTGTGATCCATAGAAGAGACAAAGATTTATGATGGTGGTAGCTACGTTACGTGACACATCGTGTTAACATGGCACGTAAATTTTCACGCTGAATTAAGTAAGAAAATCGCAAGGTGGATCTGTTTATCAATGTTCGAGAGAGAGAGAGAGAAGACACCCTCGACGACAAAAGATCCACACAACACGTCCGGTGTAAATATCGTTGTAAAGGCAAGTTTTCACACTGCTCCTTTGTCAATCCTCTCGCGGCTACCTAATCCAACATTACGCCGACAAAGAACCCTCGCATACCATCGTGGCATACACGAAAGCCAGAGGAAAGTATGAAAAAGGATGATTTTAAAGCGACGAAGGCTACGCAAATACAACGTCTATGTAATACCTAACAATACTTATTTACTTTGAACATTTCCCTCATATATTTTTCCTACATAATCTCGTTATCATTAGAAAAACTTACACGGATTAACAAACATGATCGTATTATCGATCGAATTTAAAGGTAAAGGTCAACTTTGGTAATCGCATACCAGAAAGATTATTACTTATTTGGAAAGAAAAAAAAAACAGTTAATAGATATTATAACTGTAAGTATCTATAGAAAAAGAAGAGTTAAAGTTGCATTTCCCAATGGCAAAACGCTGATACCAATGTGTTCCATGAAAAAATATATTTAATTATTTTCATTAATTTCATTTTACATAATTAACATGTAAGAATAAATATTTGTATTGTTTTTTTTTTTTTTAACTTTTTATATATTTCCACGCTTAATTTATTCGTTATTAATCTTATCTTAGAAAATAATCATAAGTATTTCGCGCGTTAAAATTTACAGGATTTATGAAATATTTGACCGTATATATAGAGGAAATGTTTTGGGGAGAAAAACGATTTGTTTTAAGTTAAACGGGAAAAACAAATAGATATACTGTTTCTTTATTATTGACTTTCTCCAAAGAATATATTTCACGCACGAAGGATAAATTCATGAAATAACAGTTTGTAAAAATATCGGCCGGAATATAAACGGTTGCATCGCAGGTCGAACAAAGTAGTTCTACCTTTCTAGGCCACGATTCGCGTTGCATCACGAAACGTGCAGCGACCTTTTCAATCTCGCTTCCCATTTTCACTTTTGCTCGTGTTCATGAGGATACACCTTTTACGACAATACTCGTAAACCTGTTCACGATTCATCCGGTACCCAACAATCGTATCGAGTTAAACCACACAGGTACGACAGGTTTGATCGATACACAATACGCGAAAACGCGCATACACATATAACGATAAAATAATATTATTAAAAATGATCCAACAAAGTCAAACATTTGCGTTTACTTCGCTATAGGCAGCAACAACACGTGCGCGAGGGAGAAATAAAAAGAAAATTGGTCGAAAGGTAAAATATCAAAGGGGTTGCCGAATACACGAGTTGAATGTAAACCATCGTCGTGAACTCCCCCCCCCCCATGTATTTACTCATCGATCCTTGGGGGACACGAAATGAAAAAAGAAAAAAAAAAAAAAAGTACCTGACTAGAAAATGAAATGAGAAAACGAAAGATCCTTTCTCTCCCTTCTTTCTTTCTTTCTTTACCTTCACTTCAAAATATATGTTGCTAATGTAAATTAATAAATAATTGTATTTATTGAAAATGAGGACAAATTTCAGATCTATCTTCTTAACATATATACTACATACGAATGTATGTACGTTATTATGTTCCCCGTTGGCGAAACGCGGATGCGGTCGTAGAAAAGTTCAACTCGTCCCACGTGAATAATCCACCATCAAATTTCTCTTTCTCTCTTTCTCCCACATATTAAAGTATCGTCCCAGTGTCGTATGTATGTATGTATGTATGTATGTATGTATATAGTAGTTGTGTATGTAACACACCCGTCTTCTCGCTAAGTAGTATCCACTGGATTGGTTTCGCTTTCTCACGGCATCTACGAGAAACTCGTCGATAGGATTTTTCTTCCTTCGAGAGATCGATAAGATCTCATGGTGAAAAAGAACTTCGCTCCTTAAAGAGCCTACGGAGGAGATGTTTTATATTATCAATTGTAACCTACCTATATACCTGATGTAACGTAGAATGTTATTTTTGAAAATACGATATAAATAACGAAAGAATGAAATAGAAAGCAAGATTTCAATCGTTTACAACCGATTATACTCGATGAATAATGCTTCAACATAATCGCGTAATACTCTAGCTCGATAAATTCATTCGAATTCTTGATCACCTTTCTTCGAGTAATATACGAAACGATCCAGAGAAAAGATAAGCCTTTACATAATAATAATGTTCTATCTCTCTTTTGATAAATGTACTCGTATGTTTCTAGTTGTGGTCTTCTTCTTTCGTACCTTTCTTTAAAAGCGAATTCAATACACATGTTATAAATATGCGTGTGTATATTTACTTTCATTGCATTAACTTATTCGCAATAACGATAGGACGATAGTGTATGCGTTCGGTTTAAACGAAAGGAAGAATTTTCTTCCTTTCTATTCTGCCCATTAACGAACAAAATAACTATACAATGGTGTTACGTGAACTTTTCCAAGTAGATCGGTCTAATTACGAGAAGCGAAGCGCAATTACGTTCACAAAGAGACAGTGGCAACAAATGAGCTTAAATCAGTGCGCGACCAAAGAAGCAGAAGAAGAATAAAAGGAATAGCAGGAACAAGAAGTAGAATAAGGAAGACCCAGGAAGAAAATTTATTAGCAACGATAGTTAGATACGCCTCACCCCTTTTAAGTAAAGACGTAACGTGAGAATAACAGTGTAAACAATACCATGGCATTTCGAGTTTGATTTTTTTTCTTTTTTTCACTTTATCGTTAAAGAAAAAAATCCCTATAGTATATTATAAAACGTTCCTACCTATATTCTAACGATCTATTGTTCCCGGCAGCTTCTTCTTTAGCATTTCGAAATTGTTCGAGAATTCAAACGAATTTTCCGAGACCAGGGAAAAAGGGTTAATTATGTTAAAAAAAAAAAAGAAAAAGAAGAAGAAAGAAAATCGTTTCTTCGAATTATCCTTTCCGGAGCTTACTTTTGCGGTGACCTTGTCTCGCAGCTGCATGACGCGCGCGCCTCGTGCCGTTTTTCCTCCTCGAGGTCGACGTTCGTCGCCCCAGAGTATGCTGGACCAAGGTGACGGTGGCTTGGGTGCCGGTGCTGGCGGTAGACCATAATGGATCGCATTCTTTTGCTTTAAAAGTATCATCCTTCCTTCCTCTTATTTCTTTTCACTAGTTTGCCACTGAACTATTCTTTTACCACATAATACTTTACCGTAAAAAGAAAAATCGATAGGAATAGGAAGAAGAAATAATTTCCCAAGGCAAAAAATAAAAAGAAAGAAAAAGAGAGAGAGAGAGAGAGGAAATACGAGAAAGATAATTTAAAAAATGTAAAAATAAAGATAGAGGGAGGAAAAAGAAACGGACAAATAGATAGAGACACAGAGAGAGAAAGAAAGAGAAAGAGAGAGAAAGTTGACTCTTCTCGTGTTCCGCACGCGATTCACCGTCGTGCCGAGTGGCGGCGAACCGACTGAATCGGAGAATACGAAGCCGAGTGTGTAGAAGGGCTGCTACCTCCACAGCAGCGCCTCCATAGTGCACCCTCTAAAACGCGCGCGCTATGTGCATCAGTAAACTGTGTGCATATACTCTACTACACGTCGCGACGTTCCTTCTATTACTTCGAGATAACCTGGCATATACTCTATTACACGAAGTAATATCATCAATTTTATTCGATTCATTGAAATTTCCATAGAAATAACCCCCAGCGCGCATATATATATATTATTATATACATACATATATACCTATACGTAGAGAGATGATGTATGATTCATCTAACACTCGAAACGTTGTTAATTTTAATCAGCGAGTAACGAGATCGTTACATAGACAGTACGCGCCTGTGTGCGAAGAATTACGGTATCAAGGATAGAGCAATCGCGTAGATCACTTCCATCGTGATCTTTTAATCTCCTCTTATCGGGTCCGTTTATTTTCTCAATATATCGTTGAAACAAGCGTTTTCACGATCGCTCGCACTCGGCTCTAACCGAGCGTGTAAGTAGAAGATATCGATATTTAAAAGACGCGGAAGCTCGCGCGCGTGTTACGGTCAAGCGATCGTGCGCATGATCAATCTTGATCGTTCGACTTATATCGCATTTAACCGGCAACGGCTTGCAATTAAACTCAACCCGTGACGGATAGATCGATCGATAGATCTATCGATCGTTTTAGATAATTTATTTCTTTTTTGTTTTCTTTGTTCCTTCCTATCTTTCTTTCTTCTTTCTCACAGAAAATGAAACTCGAATAAAAGTAAAATAGTCGTGCACGATCGTCCTCCTTAATCGAAAGGTCGGTTAGTCAATGCTTTAAATCATTGAGATATATATTTCCGAAGCGCTTATCAATTTATCACAGGAGAGAAATCGATAACGGACACCAATATCGGTAGAAACTCGAGGTTTCCTCGAAACTTCCGTACAAATAACAGAAATCAATGTGATCCGATAAGCCATGACAAAGTAAATGACTAATTTTTATATATATATATACGCACACACGCATACAATATGCGCAAATACAAGAGATAACAATTGTCGTTATGTATTAATAGAAAGTTTAGATATTAGTAATTGATATGAGCACGATTATTCGAATAAATTTGTTGTTTATCACAAATTTACAAAAATAATGATCAATTTCTTCCGTGTAAGTCGTATTATCATGTCTCTTTTTACAAAATGATTAAAGGAAAGATAGAAAAGGAAAGAACAATAGAAAGAGAGAGAGAAATAATTGCAGCGTCCTTGACCTATCACAATAGGGCTTATTTCAAGTGTTTCCAGCAATGGTAACTCGTTGGTAAAAGTCGATATGGATCCTACTAACGCGCGCGTCATTCGAAAATGTAATCTAACTAATATCGAATAAAAGAAAAAATCTTTGGCACATAAATATAATGTATCCATGGACTTTCCCTTTATCGATAGATCCTTAATTCGATAAATATTCCTACTCGAATAGATGCACACATTTATCTTCCGAGATACGAAGGATCTTTCAAAGTGAGTGAACAAAATTGCGGATTCGCCCACACGTATTCGCCCACGAATACGAACGATTCCTGCTTGCAGTAAAAGTGCAATGACAGGAGAGGAAGATGAACAGACGGTGAAATAAACATATATCTAACTGCTGATCAAGAGAACGTGTGTGTTAAACCATCGAAAGATTTAAGACGAAAAGAAATATCGGAATAACAAAAGAGATTGGTAAAAACAAAAATAATAAAGATGAAAATCTAGCATCGTATAACGACTATGCAATCGCGAATAAAGAAGATGAAATTCGTGACGTAGACGATCCCTTTGTTTACCGCCAACAGAAAATCTCTATCTCGCTTTCTCCCACCCCACCTCTCAGGATGCACTCTCCGTTTCTTTCACTCTCTCTTTTCATACGTCTCTCTACTTACATAGAGACTACATAGCTATAGCTCCAAAAGCACTCAAGTATAATCACGCTCGTATGTTAAAACCACCAAATATGGGAAGAGAATCTATCGTTTTTATACCTTGTGCCTCCCTCTTTCTCGTTCTCTCCTCTCCTCTATTTCTCTCTTTTCTCCCTGTCTCTCTTTCTTTCTTCCTTCCTTTCTTTCTCCATCTCTCTTTCTTCATAACAAGGAGTATTTTTTAAGATACACATCTCATTCTCAAGACATTACGTTGAAGACAATATTCTCCTTAACTAATTTTAGATCTAGCGCGTAAAAATTACGAGAGGGACGCTATCGTGTTGCGTCGATATATTCGTTTGACGTACTTGGAAGAAACACAAAACTCACCGAACTCTGGGGAGAACTCGACACGCTTGGTGAACGCTGCACTGTGACCAACGCCATGATAATCCTCCTCCGTCCGCTCCTAATTTCGAAGATAACGATCACTGTCACCGTGCACTCGTTTAAAAAGGATCCCGCCGTCAGGACGACGGAAAACGTATCATTTTTCGCGCACCTTTAACGGCATCGCGCTCGCGGCGGCCATGTTCGATACAGTCTCACGTAAGGTGCTTCACGCGCATGCGCCAAACGCGCGCGCATAATTCACTCGTTGCGATATCTTCTGACTTTATTGGTAAACTTCAGTGCATATGATAACACAGCCATTTCGATTTACTTACTTGTTAAATGAAGAAATTGTATTATCATCGTTTGCTGTCATACACGAACGTACATATGTACCGTCGCATAGTAACACATTATATACAAATAAGAAATAAAACTTTATATTTATTATATTACAAACGAATTACATTAAACAGAGTTAAAAAATATTTATATGATTTACGCGCGCTCTAACATAGCATCCCCTATAGATTACATAGCAAACTAATTGCGATATGAGATTCAGATCTTGAAAGAAAAATATTCAGAATAAACTAAATCAAGATTTCAAAATTATAGTATATGAATGTTCAAGCAAATGATTTAGCCCTAAAATAAGAAAATCTAAATATCGTAAAAATCATAAATATGATTAATTTATTTAAAATTCTTTAATTATTATTCCATCACCTTTCACCCTGGCGAAAGAGGTGATTGAAAATGGATCTTATATTTATTCTCGTCTAAAGATCAAGATCACAAATGGAGTATTAATATCTTTAGATGCGACAACGCCAAGAATACCCTATGAAAAATCTTTTAGTACAGAAAATTACCCTATAGATTACCCTATGAAAAATCTTTTAGTACAGAAAATTCATTAGTAAAAACATTTCTGATTTGTAATTTAAGAGATTTTTAAATACACGTGTTGGATAACCCACAATGATTGGATCACGTGATAGGTGATCCTGCTCAGAAAGGTAAAAATCATATAACTAAAACACTCAGATCCTTCCCAAATGCAGAATATCAATGTTCTCGAATATATAAGCAATATTCACTTCTACATCTCTGAAGTTTATTTTGACAAGATCGTGTAATTTCGTTAACTTAGCAGTGCTTTAGCGATATTGTACCCTAGTATTATTACACATTATTGCGTTCAGATCTCGTTGCAAATCGATACATCGAAAGTCGACATTTATAATAAAATCGGTGTAAGGCGTATTGATCGTGTGTCTACGTTATTAATACGAAAACATATATTAAGTACTATAATTTTGTAAGGAAATACTTTTATTAAATCTTCAGAATTTATATTATACTATTAAAAAATGTCTAAGATATTTACTCCGACGAATCAAATAAGATTAACAAATGTTGCGATTGTACGAATGAAGAAAACTGGTAAAAGATTCGAAATAGCGTGTTATAAAAATAAAGTCATCTCATGGAGAAACAAATTGTAAGATTTTAATTTTTACAAAATCGCAATGGTTTAATAGTTACTTTAACGTCAATTCGTATTTTCGTGAACTTAACCTATAAATTTCATAATAAAATATTATTACAGAGAGAATGATCTAGATGAAGTACTTCAAACGCACACAGTTTTCGCAAATGTGTCTAAAGGTCAGGTAGCCAAAAAGGAAGACCTTTTAAAATCATTTGGTACAGAAGATCAGACAAAAATTTGCAAAGAAATTCTTGCCAAAGGTGAACTACAAGTTTCAGATAAAGAAAGGCATTTAGCTCTAGATTCTATGTTTAAGGATATTGCCACAACAGTTGCCGATAAATGTGTAAATCCAGAAACAAGAAGACCTTATCCAGTATCTATGATAGAAAAGGCTATGAAAGATATACATTTTTCAGTTAAACCTAATAGAAATGCAAAACAGCAAGCTTTAGATATTATTCCGCAACTCAAATCTGTAATGCCATTAGAACGAGCACAAATGAGACTAAGAATAATAATACCTGGCAAAGAGGCAAAGAAATTAAAAGAAAAACTAACCAAATTAGTAAAAAAGATAGAAAGTGAAAATTGGGACATTGGAACATTATATTTTATCTGCCTAATAGATCCTGGTCAATTTAAAGAAATAAATGAACTAATAAATTCTGAAACTAAACGTACTGGATTTTTAGAACTGCTTAACTTAAAAGAAATTGCAGAAGGAGATGAAATTTTAGAGTAAAGTATAAAAAAAATATATTAGAGATACGTTTAATTGTATTGAATTTATCTTGATTTAAGTTCCTTTAAAAAGTAGTGCACAGAAATGTTACATCTTATATTGTACAAGAGTTCTGTGGTGCTATAAGATTTAAAAGATAAATATATTATTTTCTTCTGAACTATTATAATTCATAGAACTTTTTATGTATTTATTACATTTTTAGCTAACAAAATTATTTACACAATTAAATATACAAATAATTTTTCTTAATTAATCTCTCTTTAAATATTTATCTAGAGAAACATAGATATTCTATATATTTACATGCAAAATTATTGGGATTTTTCATTTTGTTTTAATAAATATTTTGTGTACTTCGAGAGGCATACGAGATAAATTATTTAATAATAAATTTCAATACTATGTACAATTCCTGTTTCATTATTTGATTCATTTACGTAGTACAAATTGCAAAAATTCTTTTTCAAAAATCCTACTCTCTTTTGTGGATATATCTAACTATAAGATTACCCAAAATAATGCAATATCCTTGTACAAGGATTCCTATTTATATCGCTTAAATTCATAATTTCTATAAAAATGCTTGAATAATTTCGTAACAAATGATAAACTCTTCTTTGGAATAGTTTTAGTATGTTCTAATTTATGTAAATAAGTATATTTTTCAACATACTACAACAAATGCATCTACAATATATTAATTATTAAGTATAAAGAACATACATCTTCTATATTTATAAGATACTTAAAGAATTGATTGTTAATACATAATGCATGACATTGATATTATCACTTACATTTGTGCAGATAGTTTCGATATCTGTCTATCTGTAATATAAGATACCAGTGCGCTTTCTACTCATATTTATACAGGTCAGTCACTCATTTTTCTTCTTGTACTTCTGCTCGAGGAATATATATGTTTTCTGTACGTTGATCACATTTTGCAGCAATACGTGATACAGTTAAAAGAAAATCTGACAATCTATTTAAATATGTTTGTGCTTCTTTATCTAAAGCACCATTGCGCACCAAAGATGTTATACTTCTCTCTGCTCGTCTACATACATTTCGCGCTACATGAAGAGAAGCACAAGCCTTTCCACCACCCTAATATAACAAAGATAAGATAATTCATTTAAAATACATTTCCTGCTAGATTTTAAATTAAAGAATGTCTAAATAAGAATATATATATAGATATATATTACAGGAATGATATAGTCTTCAGGTGGGGGCAATTGATTGGCATATTCTAAAATCCATTCTTCAAGATCTTTAGTATGTTTACTTTCAAATATTTTGGTTTTCCCTGGTATCGATTTGGATATAGCATGATTCAAATCAAATAATATCATTTGCACACGTTTAAGTTTATCCACATAAGGATGTTCAACTTTACCATCGCATGCAAATTCTCTTGCTAATCCAATATAAGAAGACAATTCATCTGTCGCTCCAAGAGCATTGAAAATCATATCATCTTTTGGCTTTGTATCTCCTGCATCCGTAACAGTTAATCCAGAATCTCCATCGCGTGAAAAAACAGCTACCTCAGCTATATTTGATGGTGTGCTACCACTGCAATTTAAAATCATCTATATATATATATACACACTATATATTTGCAAATATAATTATTTGCATTTAATAAAACATTATTATGTATATACATATGTACATGTATTTGCTGTCATTGAATAAAAAGTTCAAGGATTTCACATATACTAATTTTTAATTGATATATACTTGTAAGAAAATGTAATTAATTTTCAAAATTTAATATATTTATTATTAATAGCGTAAACAATGTATTAAACAAGTTGCATTCAAATCAGATTAAATGAAATTTTGAGGTTATAATACTATACAACACTCACCTATTTCTTAAAGAATTTTGTAAACTACTTTTGTATATAAAAATTGATTTTCTCCATGCATTTCTAGCCAAGTCCATTTTTCAAGTATAATACTCTAATGAATGAAAATATTATATTTGGTTTAGAATTTTTTATAAACTTTTTTTCCTTTAAAAATCATTAACGCCGGTATAGGGCTTGTAAATTTAGACGATCACTGAAGTCGTAGGCGCCATAACTAAACGTTATGAAACGACTGAAAACACGAAGAGAAAGATACGATTTCTAAAGCAAATATTTCTTTTTTCCTAAATATAACTCGTACAAAATTAAAAATAAGTTATTATGTCCACTCTATATTTTTTAATGCCAATTGTTAGTTTCTTATTCACTATCCAAAATCTGTAGCTATACACGAAGTATATAAGCAATAGAATACTTTATGTAAAAACATTGATAAAATCCCTTGAATTTTATTACAAATAAATATTACTAAAGAATATAATAACACGTTATGTTGTAAAGAATGTAACGAAAATTTTCGATAGTAATTTTTATAAAAAATTACTTTTACTATATATAAATTTTTCTTATCTTCAAAGAAATATATAAGATGTTTCAAAAATCACTTTGCTGAACTAAAAAATTATAAATTTCATTTTAGTTGGCATTTAGAATGGTGATTCATCGTGGGCCCATATATTTTTAACAACACTGTAATTGGAGATTCATATTTTAAAATAAAAAACAAAAATCAATATTAGTTAATTAATATAACTACAATATTTTGTTTTGTTTTTCTTTTCTCAGTAGAGTGACTTTTATGAAACCCTGTATATATCAGAATAAAACATTTGCAGATGGCGATGTATGCTTTACGATCAGCTGTAATTCGAGTTTTGTTACAAAAGAAATGCATCTAGCTAAATATTCGTATTGATACCTATGATCACGAATTCGATCTATTATTAACTCGTTATAACACAAAGTATTGCAGATGATAGTAATTACGTTTACATTTAAGTTAATTCTACAATTTATGAGATACACGTAAACATATATATAGAAATTATTTCATTATTTAAATGTGAGAAAACAAAATATAAATTTTACGTGATGTACAACCGTAGATGCGTTCAAATTAAAAAGATTTCATCAATAAAACGTATGTAAGTAAAAATTTAATGAATTTAATTGATTCATTATTACCAATTTAGAATATATAAACTTCTATACAAGAAGAGGATAATTAAAGGTGTTTATGATAAAACTTATAAATATTGGACGAAGAAAAATCTAGCTGAAAAAACCTTTAATCGTGTCTTTCTAAATGCTCAAGCATCTTAAAAAATTAAATAGAGTAATTGTTCTGTGACATATTTATTTAAAATATTATATCTGTATTTTTATACCTGATATGAAACAATCTTGTTTGCGATGACAACAGTAAAGTGATTACTTTGAATTACTATATAGATTTCCTGTATAGATTTAATTGTTTGAAAAATATTATGATTAATCTTCATTTAAAGATGGATTTAGATCCTGCAGAAATGGCGAATGAGATAAAAGAGAAAGTAATATTACATTGGAACTGTCGAGGTCTTACAGAATTACCAGAAATCATACGAAAATATGGCAGCCACATACAGGAAATATATTTGAAGTGGAATAAACTAACTACTTTACCACCATGGATAATAGAATTATTTAATGTTACTAATTTATATATCTACGGTAATCTCATTAAAGAACTTCCTGTAGAACTTGGCAATATGTCTCAATTGACTGTACTAGATTTGAGTGCAAACAAGTTAGAAGAAATACCATCTTCTATTGGTAATTTAATAAATATAGAATCATTGTTATTTAATAATAATTACATTAAAAAATTACCAATGGGTAAGTATATTTTGAAGGAAATTTAATAACTACAAGCTCATTATTTATTTTCTTATAATATAAAAAGCATATTGACCTTAATTTACAAAACAGAAATGAGCCAACTTTATAATCTGGAAGTATTATCTCTTTCTGGAAATGAATTTGTAGCATTACCAGAATGGCTTGGTTCTTTACCAAAGCTCAAAGAATTAAATGCAGATAACAATTATTTAAAGGAACTACCTAATAGATTGACATTGGCTCCTAAAATATCAATGATATCAGTGTGTTCAAACAGGTTACTATATTCTATTATATCACGCATATGCACATAGATATATAAGAAATGACATGCATTAAAATTTGTAACATATTAAATCATATTATCATTTGTAATTTAAATGATATTTCATACAGGTTAAAATATTTACCATTAAATGGTTTCTTGTCATCTCCTTGCATAAGATTTGATGCAAATGAATATTTAAATTATTTGTCTTATCCTGTCCTCATCCAATTGGCTTATAATATTCTTACATCAATTAATGTTGATTCAGTGAATATCCTAGGCTATAAGTAGGTATATGTATTCAACTCTAATTATAATTCCATTATGATATCTAATATATATTAAATTATATAAATTATTAATATTAATAAATTTTTATTCTGCTTATTTTTTAAATGTAAAGCTTGTTTATTACAGATGTTTCAAATTAAAATGTGCTAATGATGAATCGTTGAGTACAAATATCAAATTAAATATTAAAATAGATACATCGTGCAATAAAAATATACTGATTGAATTACCAAGGCAAATTTTAAGGATTCATAATGTTAATGAAAATAAAACTGTCTCTTTGTGGGAACTTGCCCTGAGAAAAGTTTACAGACTAAAGTATGCAATACATTGTCGATGCTTATAGCAACCTTTATATACAGTTAATTATAAACGAAACTATAGATGAATCTATAACATTTTTTTTTAGGTATAAGCATATACTTAATATTTCTACAGCTCCTATAAACGTTAAAATTGTTTATAAAAAAAATACTAAAAGAAATTTTGATTTTTTAATGTCCTCTATAAACTGTGCTTCATATAATTTATTGATAAATGGACCTGCCACTATTTGTGTAAATTCTCATTGTCAACAACCAATTTTCACAGAAGCTTGGATTATTGTTGGCATCACTCATCATATATATTCAATTCCAACTATTGTTTTATGTTGTTCAAGAAGGTAATATAATGTTTGAAATATATATATCATCAGAGAATTATATTCACATTTACTTTTCAGCTGTGCTTTTAAATTTATGACTAATTCAAACATGACGCTAACTTTTCATTGGTATTGCATAGATTGATAATATTTTTGTACATAACTAGAAAATTATTCGTTGTTGTATATACATTGTTATGAAAATAAAAAGAGATTATGTTCTTAATCTTGTTTCTTTCTATGTTTTTGTTTATAATTTAATGTAATTTCATACTAGATATATTTGTCAGTCTCAATGCTCATTTTTCCTTAATTGCAACATAATACGTATCATCAAACATTAAAAACAAATGTTTGTACATAAGTGAAAAATAAACCGAATTTCCTTAAAATTAACAAAACAAGCTTACCTATGATATTAAGAGTAGAAGTTCCGCAACGTCAGAAGTTGTTCACAAAACCACATATCTAACTATTAAAAGTTAAGAAATAAGAAAGTCTAATGCTCTATCTCTATCAATATCGCACTTCAATAATGCCATAGACGCCTGATCTTCCGGAAATCCTAAATCCTTTAATGTGCATAAATTTTTATAATATATTCTTGCTTTATTTGGATCATAATGTGTTAATGTAAGTGCTTTCTCTGCATCCTCTCCAGACATACCAGTCTCTTCTAAAGACTGAATAGCTAGAAGATATTCTACAACCTTTTTATTGTCTTCACCACCGAGATCACATATAGCACGTGCTGCTCGTGATAAAGGAAATCCCATATCACTTAGATGTTGAGCTAGTTTCAGATCTTCTCCTTTTAAATTCGAAAGAGGATTTGTATGATTTGAACTATTCGACACTAATAAATGTTCGTGTTTGTGTTTGCTGTACGAATCAGTATCTGGACTCTCCAAATCAGGCCAAGGTTTCCAGTTCTATTATAAATAATATAGATAATATAAACAATAATTTATATATATTTTAACTTTTGCAATACAATTTACCTCCATCGAAGGCCGTTCCAATTCCCTTTGAAGTTCTTGTACAATTGTTGACACACTGCGAGGCTTAACATTAATATTTTGGTCAGCGTCTTCATCGCCATGCACATTAATATTTATATTTTCTTCTTTTTCTTCCTCACAAACCACAGATTCTTCTTCGATAGTTAATTCGTTTATTATATTTTCTAATTTGGTAGATGGTATCCATTGTGATGTAGGTTGCAATACCTACAGGCATAAAGCACTGTAAATGTAAAGTGCTAATTACAAGAAATATATTGCATACAATTAAAATGATTAAATAGTATTTTTTAAGCAAAATCTAGTCCTTCAAAATGAATAAATTTTACCAACCTGTGCAAGTTCTTCCATATCGTTAATAGTTTTTAATTCCATATTATCGAAAGGACTGCTTGTGTCATTATCAAAATCTGCATAGTTAAGTCCATTAGATTGTACATGATTTTGTAAATCATTTGCTGGCGGAGACAAAGGTTGTGGAGTAAGTATAGTTGTTTCTGGCGGTGGAATAACTTTGACTGGTGGCTGTTTTATTGCTTCTGTTGGAAGAGGTGGAGGTGGTGGCGGAGATTCCTCCTTTTCTCTTTTCTTTTTTTCTTCTAATCGAGCTGTACGTGCTTTGATATTTGCTTCTCTAGCTTTACGCCATTCTGCCATCTTAAAATATATATATATTATTTCATAAATTTTTAAAATATAAAAGTTAAATTTAAAATTGAAATATGATATTAAAGGTTTCTAAACAAAATAAAAACTGTACCTTTTCAAGGACGGATTTTTCTAAGCTGAAATTATATACTAATTTCGATATATCTGGTAATTTATTACTGTACACTGCTGGCAAAGCAACTTTTCGTGGTGGCTTGTACGCTTCCACGATTTTAACATGAACTCCATCCATGTACGAAGCAACAGAATCACACTGTGCCGAAATTGATGGGCGAGCCATACCAGCGATTAAAATATAAGACAATAGTGTTGACAATTTTACTTTATTACGAATTTATATATATACCAATGACCAAATATTTTTTTTTATACGTAGCATTATAACCTAAATGATACCATGAGAAATAATTTATCTGCGTAATTTCGTTACATTTAAAATTCTTTTAAGATCTCAATAAATAATAAATTTTACAATTTAACATATAACTCTTAGTTTTATTATAAAATAATTTGTATTAATAGCCAAAAATTGATATTTTTTTCTACTTGACAACTCATCACCTTAACACTATCATCTTCTGTTTGTTTGCAACTGCATTCGATTATTCGATCCGGGAAAGCCAAGTTCATACAAAAACAGTGAAGGCTTTTTTAGTGTCTTTATTGTTGATTAATTCGTTAGCGTTGCTTGCAATATCCATGCTAAAGGTAATTTTCATAAATATTAGGCTGACCAATGTCTATGCGTTTAGTTGTTGAAAATTTTAAAATGAAGCCAATCAAATGACGAACGACGCACACGCCAAATAAACGCTGGCATCCAATAAGGAGCCATCATTTTCATCAGAGTACAAAAGGGACCGGAAAGACGGCTAGTTCTTCTTTTTATTTTTCGTAGACATTGGTAACTATATTCGATTATGATATTCGTCTCTAATCTTTATTCATCTATGATTATTTACTTCATTTGTAGTTAAGACGTGTCGTTTTCATTTAATAATTTAATAGTTGGTTAATATGATTAAGAAAAACACGTGTGCTTGATATCCGCGTATTGACATTAAAGTGAGAATATTCCGTGATTCAGATTAAATATGAGTGAAAGCATTAATGAAAGTACTGAGGAAAAACAGAATGAAGAAGAGAATGCAGTGGTTACGTGGAAAGATCTGGTATGATTATTCACATATATATGATCGAAGTTTATAACCTTAAAAAGATCAATAATTTCTCATTACAGCATCAAGGAATAATTTTCTATCTTAATAGGAAATAAAATGTGTTAATTTAATGTATCTCTTTCACAGGGAATAGTAGAAATATTATGTAAAGCATGTGATGATTTAAAGTGGGAGAAGCCAACTAAAATTCAAAAAGAGGCAATTCCTTTGACTCTTCAAGGTAAATTTAATAAAAGAAAATTGATTTGATTATCTATTTAACGAGTATATAATTATTTATATAATTTATAGGTAAAGATGTAATAGGTCTAGCGGAAACAGGGTCTGGTAAAACAGCAGCTTTCGCACTTCCTATAATACAAGCATTATTAGAAAGTCCTCAAAGATATTTCGCTTTAATTTTAACACCTACCAGGGAATTAGCATTTCAAATTTCAGAACAATTTGAAGCATTAGGTTCAAGTGTAGGTGTAAAATGTGCTGTAATTGTTGGTGGTATGGACATGGTATCGCAGGCTCTTGTATTAGCCAAAAAACCACATATAATTATTGCTACACCTGGAAGATTAGTTGATCATTTAGAAAATACTAAAGGTTTCAATTTACGTTCTTTAAAATTCCTGGTACATAATTATGATTTTGTGTTATGTATATATATATAAAAAAGTAATCTCTCAAGTAATACAATATTTTTTAATTTGTAAGGTAATGGATGAAGCGGATCGTATTTTAAATATGGACTTTGAAGTTGAGGTTGATAAAATTTTAAAAGTTATTCCACGCGAAAGGCGAACTCTATTATTCTCAGCCACAATGACAAAAAAAGTACAAAAGTTGCAGCGAGCTTCTTTGCGCAATCCAGTTAAGGTTGAAGTATCTACAAAATATCAAACGGTTGATAAGTTGCAACAATATTATATATTTATACCAGTCAAATTCAAGGTAATTACATAGTACTGGATTAGGCATATATATTACAAAAGTACATAGATCACATATCGAATCTTATAAGACAAATTTCAGTACAAGAATAATAAACTGCATAATTCAATTTCATAACAGGACGTATATTTAGTACATATCTTAAACGAATTAGCTGGTAATAGTTTTATGATATTTTGTGCAACTTGCAATAATACGGTAAGAACAGCATTACTATTACGTAATTTAGGATTTACAGCTGTTCCTTTGCACGGACAAATGTCACAAAATAAACGGATTGCAGCCCTTACAAAATTTAAAGCTAAAAATAGATCTATACTTATCTCTACAGATGTTGCTAGTAGGTAAGTAATTAAAGTTTTTGTAAGTCAAAATATACTATTTTTACAAAAAGTTATTTAAATATTTATAATATTTTACAGAGGTCTTGATATCCCCCATGTTGATATTGTAATAAATTTTGATATTCCTACTCACAGTAAAGATTATATACATAGAGTTGGTCGAACTGCACGTGCAGGTCGTTCAGGACGTTCAATTACATTTGTAACGCAATATGATGTTGAACTTTATCAGAGAATTGAACAATTAATTTCTAAACAGCTTCCTTTATATGAAACAGAAGAACAAGAAGTAATGCTACTACAAGAACGAGTAGCAGAAGCTCACCGTATCGTAAAAACGGTAAATTAAAAAATGACTTCAAGTATAGAATTAATGTAACGGGTAGAATAAACTGTAATATCTTTAATTTAATCAACTCTTATAGGAATTGAAAGAAATAGAGGATAAAAAGTCCGGTAAGCGAAAAAAACATGCAGATGCAGATGAGGATGACACAGAGCAATCATTTGGAGTTAGAAAAAGAATAAAAGGAAAAGGAAAGGGAAAAGGAAAACGATTTTGAAAGAATAAGGTATTATTACGATAATCGTAAATTATGTTCAAGCAACACTCACTTCTTAATAAATAATGCAAACGCGATACAACTTTTATTATCATCGTTACTTTTTATTTATAAACCACTCCATTTCCCTCATATGAATATTTGACCCAGACTTATAGCCTTTATATATAATTTTCAAGTAATTTAATTTACAAAATTTTTTTTTTTTTTTTTTCAATTTCAAAATTTTTTAGTGTAACAGTATGGTGGAAATGAGCTTCCTGATGCGTTTATCACTTACCATCACGCGAATTTCAATGTACAAGAATATTTTGGGATAAACTGCGATAAAGATTATGCAGAATAAATGTAAGCATAAGTAAAAAGCTAAGAAATAAGGAGAATCTTTATAATACTGAGAAAATTAGCATTGCATTATAATGATTTTAAGTCTTTTCACAGAGCGAATATTATTTATCTCTCGCTCGAATAATCACAATAAAATATGTAATAAAAATCACAACTTTTACCATTGCCATTTATCATCTGCAATTAATCTGTTAGGTGAAATTAATGAAGCACCGAGGCAAAACGTGTTATTATATAGTCAACATGTCTACTTGCACGCTTTGAATAAAATATAAAGTAAGATTGATAAAGCAGAATCCTGTTTATAAAAAAATGCAAGCTAAAGAAAATCTTGTATATAGATAAATAGAAAACTATTTAAAAGATAATATGAACATTATGTATAATGAACACAGCAAACTATTGCAAAATTGATTGATAAATTTCTCTCCAAGTTTCTCTTAAAATGATCAATACAACTCTACGTTTGTTTTAAGATAAAGATTAAGGGAACAGTTAATGTTCCACCAAATATTTATAATTACAGTGATTTCTAAAATCTAATAAATTGTTATTAATTGTATAAAGTGGTAATAAATCCTTTAGTCTTTGAATATTTGTGTGAGTTTAGTTTTGACATAATGTGCACTAGAAAATATTGTGATGCTGTTTAAAGTGAAAATTGTCAAGTATAGATATATATATATATATATATCTATATAAATACATCTTTAAAAATACAATTAATTGATTAACAAAAAAAAAATGGTGCTATATAAATTGTTTTTCTTAATAATCTATCCTGATTATTAATGCATTATTAACAAGCGCAACGCTGTCAATATATATATATATATTAAAGAAAGTTATCAGTATAAGAAAGTGTATGACACATCACGAAACTTTGCTGAACATGCTAAGAATAATAAATTCATATTTAACTATACATGTGTGTGTGTGTGTGTGTGTGCACACAACCTTTCACTGCAATATCATCTTTTTCAAAGCTACAATATATATATATAAATATACATTTGTATATATATATATTTATGCACCTGGTTGTCTATTTGAAGTAAATTGAAAAAATGCATTGGGTGGGTTCATCATGCAAATATCCATCGCTGCATTTTTGTAACAGGAATTTCTGCTTAAAGTATATTTATACTTTAATCAATATTTAGATTAAATCTCTATACTAATCGAACGTACGAGAATCTCAATCTTATTATCACTAAATGATATAAGTTTAATCTCGTTGTCGAGAGCGTTTATAATAACGAACAGCGCGCGTGCAAGCGATTACTTCAGTCTCTGAAGCAAAGACTTTGTCTGAAGTTATTTATTTCAAATGCCGATACTATTAACTCTGCTCGATATGAGAAAATACATATAAAAAAAAATAAGAAAATGAAAATGTATGCTTGTGTTAAATTTTCTTATATATTAAATATTTCTTTCAATCCTATATTCTCTCGGTGGCAAAGTACCGACAGTTATAATAAATAAATTCGTACAATGTGACTCTGTCTCTTTTTAAAATATATAAATACATATGCATTAGCGATTATCACGGGTCGCCATTCGACGAACACATAGTCGAATCGCAAAATACTCAAAAGAAAATGTATTAAATCTGAAATTACAAGGCGTGTGGCGCGTAAAGTAGTCTACTCTCTAGTATGCTATTAGTTTAATATTTTTAATCAGTTTTAGACCTTACGATGAGCTCGGATCTCTTTTAAATCGTTAAAACGAATATAAGTAAACTAGTCGAGCAGAATCTAATGGATGGAATGTTCCAAATACAGGTCAAGATGTGCAAGTGACAGAAATTGAAACAACTTAGGTTTCATTTAAATGAGAAATAAAATATATTCCATAATATTATTATTCACTATTTCTACACATTCTGTACAGTAATTCAATTCAAGGGTTTTATACCTCAATATACTTTATACAAAAAGGCTACTTATAATCTAACATTAAGACATACCATAGCATGAGCGCCCTCCATCTTACCGCTAAACGGCAGATGGGCCGCACGCATGTTTGTACTGGTATTACAGAGTCAGTCGCCAGCGAGTATAACTTCTTCCTCTTGTATCACACACCTACACACTAAATTGTTGAAAGTGTGTCTCTGGTGCCATTCATATCATTATCATTCGTAATTACAATTTACTGTCCCCAATAAACGTACTCCATTATTTCACTTTTGTTTACATTCTTGGAAAGGAATAGGGGAGATTTACCATCGCAACGTCGAAATATAATGAAGTGCCTTCATTGTCTGCTATGCACAAGTTCGTATCTTTGTTTTTTTTGTTTAACTTTTCTGAGATACTCTTTACCAATAAATAAAATTATATTTTGTGAAAATATAGAATCGTAAAAAATAAAATCTGTCTTTTCAGTTTTGGATATCGGTACAGAAATAGTGCATTTCAGAGACTCCACAAATAATAGATCTGTTAATTCAGGTCTCTGTCCTCTAAGTACTTGTACTCAAAAGTAAAGCCTTCTTTCTTTCTTTGTCCCCACTTTTCATAATCAAAATAGATGTAGGTTCCCTGTAATATAAACAATTCCTTTCAATATAACTTCTTCAAACATGTAAAACATAAATTATAATAAATAAAGTAAGATCGATCTTTTGAAATATCATTATACGCTTTATTATATCGTATGAAAATATGATATATTTTATTCTAATTTATTACTGTTCGAATTTGTTTATTGACACAATTTATAAGATATACTGATATAATCAACGGGACAGTAACCTGTTCATATTCCTCATTAATAACTTTAGGCTCTTCGTGTCTTTGAAACCACATCATGTATTTTGTATGAAACCTCCAACTTTGTTTTTTCAGAGCTTTCGCCGCCAAGTATTGACCTTTGGAACCTTCCATATAATAAAAAATAAAAAACAATGTTTCCGTAGAAAGACGTTGGAAGAATTCTACAGTATCCGAATGAGGAAGTTGTACCTGTAGAAGAGAACATATTGCAAACATCAAATATTGAAATTCTATGCTATGGCATTTTATTATTCTTTTACACACCTGTTGATAGTATGGTGGTGTAGGACATAAATTTCTTGGCAAGTACGACCGTAAACGTTCGGAATCTGAAGGATGAGGCATATGGTAGTAAGCAGCTTCCATCATCTGGAACTGTAACTGGTGTTCCTTTTGCAAAGGTACCGGACCCAGTGGTGCTACGCCAAGTAAAGGTGGAATGTGTGCTTCCGAAGTGGCGTTGTTATTATTGTTTGCCTTCGCACTGTCAAAGATGTTTCTATTTGGCTCAGATGGTGGTATCTCCAGACCTGCTCGGACAATGACTTGTTGGGCAATAGATTTTAAAGAGGACATGCCATCAGGAAGTTTAGGGATGAGACCATTGGCAGTGGATGGCGCTGGCGAGCATGAATTCGCAGGTAGAGGTGAAGACCTAGTGCTAACCGAAGATTGTGGCGAAGAAGACGGTGGGATTGGTGTTGTCATTTCTGCTTCACTATTGTGATTTTGACTTTGCTGACTATGTAATATATGAGTTGTCTGAACAGGTGCTGTGTTATTATGTTGCTGCGAGATCGATTGTTGTACGTTCGAGGTAACGCTGGATGTAGATGACGATGACAGTAATCCGTTTTCACTGCTATGAGCTGTAAATAATAACAAATTATTTAATAATAAAATATATTAAAGAAATTTTTAAACTATATTAATAAATGTTTACATTACAGGAAATTCTGATATTAACACATTCTAAGCCAGCTGAATTTTAATTGCTAGAAGCATCAATGCTGATTGTCAGATTGCTTTTATACGGGGAATGAACATACGAAAGAAGACTTGCCATAGGTACTTTAACAGAAATCAATGAACTGTCTAAACCAAAATCCTTAATTTATGCGGGATCGGCTTAAAACGTGTTAACCGTTTGAATTCCAAAAGTGATTGAAAAAGCATTCTCGAAAAATGCCGAACAGAGTACACTATCAATTATCTATAACATTTAAATATACTAGGATTTTTCGACGTGAAATCTAAACAATGTGATTACACTGCTTGGAACTTAAACGGTTAGTAAAGATAGTAAAAATATAATAAGAATGAGCTACTACTTACATGATGTTTTACTAGAGGTAGAATGGATGGTTTGTGAATTACTATGCGAAGCAGCTACTGTGGCAAAATTTCCAGCATTAGTTGTTGCAATGTGATTACTAGTAGAACTAGGCGAGCTATGGCTAGATGTCATGGGAATGGTCTTGCTTGGAGTGCTGCTGGATAATAAATTCGACTTTATTGTGGCAGTGCTTCCCGTGGTTGGAATGCTCGCTTGAGAATTGAGTAACGGCCTGACTGCTGTTGGTTTTACAGGCTGGAATTATAAAAGAACGATTATCGCATCAATAAATCCCTATCACAGTTGCGAAATCAAGAAAAATGTATACCTTTGTTTTTTTGTCTATATCCGTGGAACTATCACTTGAATGGTTGTGCATAGTAGAACTCAATGGCGGTGAAGGTATGGGTGAAGTACCAGAGTTAGTCGAGGTTGGTGTACCTCCAGTCTCATTGCTATTATTGCTATCTGTTGTTGCTGCAGAGGGAATACCAACCCCAGACAACTCTACTTCATCAAGACCAATAATATCATCATAAATGTATTCATTTTCCTCAAAGTCAGGCTCTTGAGATGATTCAATATAATATTCAACGTCATCTTTTATCCTCTTGATCTATTTAAAATGTCGTGTAAATGTATTTTTAACGTACAATATTTTCAATTATTGTCACACACATACGTACACAAACCACAAAAAGATAATTTGAATAGCAAATACTAACTAAAATAGACTTTTTCATCAAAAGAAAACTCACTGTATCAACTTCAACAGACATATTATCCAACATGCGCAATAATGTCTCCAATTTACGGATATGGTAACGATGCTTATCTAGCTTTGCTTTTAATTCATCCATTCTATCTTGCTTATCTTTATCTAACCGTTTTTTCTTTCCAGCCAGTAATGATTCTATTTCAGATTCAAATGTATCCAGCTATATCAACATATTAGAATAAATATGAAAATATTTGTAAATGTCTTAGAAACAATTCTTCATTTACCTGGAGGTTTAAAGCATCTATCGAATTTGCAAGCCAATTGCTAACTTCTTCCCTTTCTTTTTGAGCTGGATCAAGTTTCTGTGCAGCCCCTAACCCTTCCTTAGAATAGGCCTTGGTTTTTGTTTCTCTTTCAACAACTTTAAACCTTTCCATTTGCTGCAAGAAAACAATAGTATAATACTTGCAAACTTATATTATAAATTAATAATCTATAAACATATATTTTTCATTTGTAAGATATACTCACAGTTTCGATTAACTTCCTGTAGTCAAGAAGTGTGCTTTTATCTTTGATTTCTCCAGATGCGATCCAACTTTTAATTTGATCGCGTAACCTCTGAAGTTTTTTGATTTCTTTCTTAAGATCTGCTTCATATTTTTCCTTCTGATTGCTATTAGTGGCATTATGAACTTTCTGCCAAATGTCTTCAAAGGTCTCCACACCCTCTGTCACTTTTTTAAGGCACCGATCTATTTCACCTATAAAATAGAAATAAAAAAGAAAAAGCTTTAATAATGAATGAAGTTTTTATAAAAGAATAAATATAAATATTATTGAAAATAATATGTATATCTAATATATAAATAATCTTATCAAAAACAAATAATGTGTGCTACTTACATGACATAAGCGTATCAGTGAGTTAACACAAAACAACTAAATCAACTATAAATCATCACATAAGCAACAAACTGAAAGTGGATTTGAGCGTGTCGCTTTAAAGGTTATACATCAATATATATTAATAATAGAATTTTCTTATATCAATAATGATAAATACAAGAGAAAAGCGAATGAATTTGTGTAAAATAAGTATAAAAAATAATGAATGAAATTCAGTGTTCTATTGTATTGTTTAATATCTCCTAACAACTCTGTGTGTATGTGTGTGTGTGTCAGATGTGAAAATTAACATGCAAATAAATAAAATGAATAAAAGCGATACCGCTTTTGTATATTAAACGTAGTCTTTGTTAAGCAGCTTGTAAATTTGATAGAAGAAACGGATAAAAGCGAATCTGTGGCGGTACAGAGCCATAACAAAATTTCTAAATGTAAACATGCTGGAAACATTTTCTCCTCACCTTGCAACTTTCTCGTCGCAGCCATGGCTATGTAAACATGTGATACAATGATTCATGCATAGTCTAGACGTAATGGGAAAAAAACGGAGCAATTTTTTGGAACAAATAGTCGCTGAAGTATTATTCCCAGTATAATATGGGAGGCTCGGCCACAAGATGGCTTCCGTTTTCAAATGACAACGTCCTACTGTTCCTGAGCGAGCTGCGCTCAAAGCACATTCAATTTCTCCCGATTTGAAACCTTTTTTAAATAATGCAATTGTTACGTCTGTCCAAAAATCGACAGCACATGAAATACACAAAAAATGGTAGCATCAACAAATAATATATATGAACTTCTTAACAAACGGGACAGTATATTTATGCATTGGCGCATTCACACACATTCTATCTAACGCATATACTTATTCTTAGTGTGTTCCTAAAACATTTCAAACATGCCTACCTTATGTTATGTCCATATCAATGCATAGTTTCCAAAATGAGATAGTTCAAAAGGTGTCCCACTTTTCTTTTTACTAAATTTTACATGTACAATATTTGTTATTTTATCTTATTTTATTATGTCATATACGATGTAGAGGAAGGTAATAGAACAAAATAGATCAATTAATCTATTCACTAAAAGATTCTAGTTTATTTTCTAGTAATACTTTAAAAAGAATTTATCGGGAATTATTGCATTATATTCTGTATAATACTATAAAGATTTAATTCAATAAAATTTAATATCATTATCATATTATTTATTTGGATCGTAAATATAGCAACAACAGATTAGATTATTTATACAAATGAATGATAGATTAACACTTATGTATATCTTATTTATTGTCTCCTTTGTAAATTTGCCGCCAATTATTTGAAATTAAAATAGACGTTTATATAGATTGTTATTGGATATACTGTATAGAATAGATGATCTCAAAGTGTGGGTCACTATTTCACGTGGGTTCGTATAACTAGATTTCACGGGTTGCAAATATTTTAGTAAAACTAAACAATTTCTAGACGTGCAACAATCGAAAGTTAATTCTAAACCAGCTAGGCAACATAATACATTAGTATGTCTGTGAATTTATAATAGTAAAAGAAAATATAATAGGAAGTTTATATTTAAGATCGTGGAAATTTTTTTTCGTATATAGGAACTTGTCAAGTAGACGTTTGATAAACCCTGATGTAGACAATTTTAAAGTTGGACAATCTTCATAGATTTATATAGTAAAGGTATATAATCTGTTTGTAATTTATACACATTTGGAAATATTCAGGAAACTTGAATGTAATCAAATTTATTAACATTTGATTCGGTGTTTTTTTTTGCTTTGCAATCATATAAAAGTGATGATTAAAAAAATAAATTATACAAATAACGTTGTCGATTTTAATAAACAAAGCTTACTACAATAATCATGGATGTAACGATCGCTAAAAGGGAAGCAAGAAGAAGACGAATTTTAGAAAATTCAGAACGTCGTTTACAAAAAATTACTGGTAAAAATGAGCAAAATGAACTCGAAGGTAAATACTTAAATAATATTGTTTATTATAAATACTAACAAATTATTAAGTTATCTAAACAATCGTTAAGATTATCTTAATTTCATAATTAAAGAAATGTTTTCATATGATTTCCTTTATTGCATATAAGATTAATAAATTTTTTTTCAGATATGTTAACTGAGCGGAATCCATCCAATATATATTCAAATGAATTAGATTTAGAAGTAAATGGTATATCCGTAAACAGAAAACCTTTCGAGGATAAGAATGATACTTTATATTTTCGAGGTAAAGTGTAGTATAAGTTAATATAAGAGTATATAAATTTTATTTATTATTTCTTTTTTAACAACATTTGTGTGTGTGTATGTGTGTGTATAGTAATCCGATTTTCATTATCTTCATATAGGTGATAATGCTGTAATAAACAGAGATAAGAAAATTATGGAATCATATTTTGGCTTAAATGATGTATTAAACAATTATTATAAATGTAACGATACAGCAAATGACCAACTCGATTGTACAAATAATAAGTCAAATTTAAATCACCTTGATTTTTGTAATGAAAGTACAGAATATATGCAAGAGAAGAATGCAGAACCTAATTATCAAATGCAAAACAACGTATGCAATAAGAGTATATTGCCATATAATTTATTATCTAATCATATAAGTTATATCGTGCTAGCACTTATAGCTAACATTCTATTATTATTTAAAATGGATCATCTATTTGGGAAGGTATTAATTTTAAAATATATTAACATATATTTATTATATATGTATACGTGGGTAGATTGAAAAGTTTTGAGTCTAACATAGAAACGATTTTTTTTCTATCAAACTCACTCTTATTTAATAAAAAAAGGTTTTTTTTATTAAGACTGAAAACTTGTTAATCCATCCTTGTAAATTAAGACTTTTCATACTAACGGTAATTATAGTCACTTAATGTTTGATGTTTGTCCTGTACTACTTGTGACTATAGTAACCTTTTAATATTTTCCTTCAATTTAAAATTTTTTAAATCTAAATATCTTAAAATGCACTGCATTGTAATATTCCATTCTTTATTTACTTCATAGTAATATATATTGTTCGCGTTATAACTGATCCATACAGTATAACATTATTCGATGCGAATATCCTTACAGCCGTAGCATACTCGCGAACGACATAGTCATATTGAAAGGGTTAATACTATTCAATTTGTTATCTTTCTTAATTCATTTATTTATTTTATACTTTTTAGGTATATAATATATTCAATAACCAATGATTATATTTCAGTATATTCTTATACCGTGTATTATTATGATGCTTGGACGTTTATACACTCATACTAACATTCAAGAACCACAACATGGAAGTCCATTAATTGCTACTTTGATCTTATGTAATATCAAGCCTGTGTTAACTTATCGAATTTCAAAGGCATTAAGCATTCTTACCTTAATCATTACAGATTTAGCGTTATATATATTCAGCTTTACTTTGATCTATTGTGGAATTACTTATTATTTACAAGATTTTAATATTTTAATTGCATCAGTTATGTAACTACATAATAGAAAGATAATGTTTTGTTGAAAATTATTAGTAAGTAATTATGTATAAGAGAAGAGGGAGTAAAATGTTTTATAGAATAATATATATGTATTCACTCACAACACATACACACATACATATTAGATATGATTTTGAATAAAATTATTATTCTCTTATTAAATAAATACGTAGATACAAAGTAACAATATGTATGACAAAACATTTTTATTTTCTATCAACTATATTTTACATAAGTTTATGATTAATTTATGTAAATGGTTGTTAGAAATATTTCCAATATTTTTTTATCATGTCTAATTGAATATATCAAGCATTGAAAAAATTAAGACAACGAAATTTTATCTTATAAAAAATTAAATTTCTGCTAAATTTCAAAATAATCGTTATAATAATATATTGAATACATAAACAATACATTTCTTATCCTGACACATATTTCAAAATAAGATGATTGTATATTATGTATATATTATAAACATCATATACTCGATTTTATATGTATTACAAATATACCCAGTGTTTTTCTGCACTAGCATCTTCATTTGATATATTTGCACATGGACAAATATTATCATTTGCAGTCTCTGTGTATGTCCATTTTTATATATGTCTAAAAAAACTTGATATGTTATTAATAAAATTGTAGTATATTTAAAGCTTTCTATATACAACATGCAGTATGAAAAGTAACTGAATACAAAATTTATTAATAAATTCTTTGTTTATCAGGTTTCTTTTTCATGAAAAAAATAAGACAAAACAAATAAAAAAAAGGTTGACTGGATAAATTTATAAATTTTTAAATTTATTTAATTAAAGACAATGTTTTTTTTATATATATCCATAAACACAAAAAACTTAAAAAATACTTATCATCGGTAGAAAAAAAATATTTATTATTTATAAATAAGGTACCAACAGCATAAAATCAATGTGAGAAGATAAAATATAGTAAAGAATACATACTTCTTCACTGTATCCCAAGTTTTGATAAAATTGTTTAGTTTCTTCATATCAAATTTGAATTTTTCATTTCGTTCTTCAGATTTTAAATGTATTTTGATATTGTTCATAATTATATCGGGATCAGATAGTATCTTATTATTATTGATTGGTAGGTAATCTACCAGATCAGCATTTTCACATTTATCTATTTTTAATAAATTCTTTTTATTGGCATGCTTCGTTAAATCGTTTGTAATAAATTTCAATTTAATCATATAAGTCGAAGTAGAAGACAAATTACGAAGCCCAGAAAGATTTGAAAGATGTTCATAAATTATTGAATTTCGTCCAGTAATATAAGTCGAGATATTTGTCAAAGAATCAGGAACCTCTGTGCCCCGACCCACGATGTTATTATTAAATACTTTTGAAGGAATTAATATGATGCTAACAACTTTTTCGTTAGATAGGGTGGGGCACATTATTCCCTACTTAATTCCATCTCTTTCACTTGGATTTTCGAATGTCTGTGGAAACGAAGACATATTTTTATATGTTTCCTTCATCATCTTTTGCTCCCATTCTATTTTATCTTTATTATATTGCTCCATTAATGTCGCTGCTTGATCTACAAATTGTTTTTTATCTTGTTCATTCAAAGTTTTCCATTGAACACTCAGCATTTTTAGGAATTCCTAAACGAAACATTTTATTACTAAATTAAATAAATCTCTTAAAACAAAAATAAATCCTGCTATTTTTAAACAATAAACTTTGTATTGTAAGATTGGCAAATGATTATTCAAATATCAATAAAACATACCCTATTGTTAACGGTAGATTGTTGTGTACTTTTAACATGAAGCATATAAAGTATAAAAGCAGATGGTGGTTTCTTTGGTTTTCCAGGTAATTGAGTAGCCTGAAAAATAAATTTGTTTAAATATATTTTCAATGATGTAACAATATATTTTTGTACGATTTTATATGTAATAATTAATCAATGATAATGATCCAATAGAAATCATTGATTAATTATTTATTTATGGATTACTTACTTGTTTGTCTTTCTTTTTGTTTAAACTTTTTTTTGTCATTATATAATGTTCCCTTTGCTCAGGAGTTATTGTTTTTTCATATTCTACTATTTTGTTCATATATTCTTTGTATTCTATATCATATTCTTTATTTAATTTAAATTTATACCCTGGATCTTCTGAAGCCCATCTTTGAGATATAAGTTTTACAATCTCATTAGATTTATGTCCTGGATATTCACTAACAATTCTCGGTCTTATCTCTTTCATATATCTAAAGAATGGTGTTAATGGTCTTTTTGGTTTGTTCGGAAAAAGACTGTCTTCTACAAACTTTTTTGTTTTAGATGATATAAATTGATAAGAATTCATCGATAAACATCTGAAATAAATAAATAGTTATGAAATAAAGTATCAAAAATATATTTTTATATATACATATATATATATGTATATGTATACTTGTATATGTATATATATATATATATATACTCTTAGGGATAGATCTTTGCTCGCGATTAGATACTCCGTAGTACTCAACACTCCCAAAGTGTTATGTAGATTCAGAGTTATGTCATTTTTATTTGACCGATAATAGGATGAACGTGTATACGTGTNAAAATATTGATATATTAAATATTAATATACAAACAAATATATTTTATAGTATAATTTATAAATCAAGTTCACACACAATATCATATTGTATGCTACGGTGTGCTAAGGTTAGAATTTTAAAGTATTATCTTTATGCAAGAATAATTCTAATACTTTCTTCGTTTAATTTAGTTTATTATCGTTATTTTAACAAGTATATAAAATATTATAAATTAATATACCTGGAATTTAATAGATTAGTACAAGAACCAGGTGAAACTAGTCTTCCAAAACCCGCCATGATATTTTATACGTGCCGAACATATAATGTGCGTTTTCAATTTTTCTAGTGATTTATAAAAGTTTCTTAAATCCATATTTTTTTCCCCTCATTATTTCTTTCTTTTCCCTCATTTTAGTAACAATATATTTAAATGTAATAATTATTACATATATATTGCAACTTTTAATAGAGAACAAAAAAATAGGAGTGTGATCATGGTATAATAGTCCATCAGACTGTTCCGTGATGTTATTGGATAACATATTGGACGTACGAATTCAATTGGTAATAAACTGATTTCAAACCTATTTTAATTTGCAACAGTTTATAAGTAATAATAACTAAACAATAACCGGGGATTACACAAAAAACAAATCACTTCGTTATCAAGAAATTGTTGAAGTGATACAATATAAAGTTATACGAAATTGTTAGCGTGATTTTAAACATTTGAGGTAGTTGATAAATAAATTGAATTGCTAATAAAAATGGCTACAATACAAGGAAAAAGAGAAAAAGTAAATATAACTTTTTTACTTTTTATTAATATTAATATTTTAATTGTATTCTTGTATGTTTTTTGTTCATCACCTATATTTTAAATAATATTTAAAAATATATTATTACCTATTATATATATATTCTCAATTATTGTATTGCTAATTATAAATATTTGTAATTGAAATATATTTGCAGTGGTGTGATCTATTAGAAAATTTGATTGAATGCCCGGTATGCTGTGAAATACCGCCAAATAATATTTTACAATGTCAGTTGGGTCATCATATATGTATATCATGTCGTTATAAATTAACGATTTGCCCAATATGTAAAAACAATTTTGGTTCAACAAGAAATTTTGTAGCCGAAGAAATTTGTAAAAAATATATAGAAATAATGGTTTGCATAACATTTTTTATAATTTAGGATACTAATCATTTCTATTAACACGTTGAATTCTATAGAAGTTTCATATGTTTTGCCGTTGAAGCCACGATTGTCGATTTAATATAAAACAATATAGTAACGCTGGTCACCGGTGACCCCCATAGCATTCAACGTGTGTTAAATATATAAAAATACTTCGTTTTATAGCAACTAACATTTCAAATCATGTTATTTTTCATAGATGTCTTTAAAGATACCTACGATTAAAGAAACAGAAAAAATGTTAGAGAATAAATTATGTGTTTCTACACAAACAGAAAAAGTATCTAAAACATCGGTCCAAGTTCAAACAGGAAATCTATTTTTACACGATAACAAAGAAACGCAATGTAATACATATGTAACGGAAAATCAGCATGTATTAACTCCACGAAATTTAAGGACAAGAAATATCAATTATTTTATTCCAAAAGGAAATTATCGATGTTGTTTAGGTTCATGTTTGATATCTTTGCCTTTTACAAAAATGATACAACATCTAAAATTGTATCATAAAGATACATTTTATGAAGTATGAATATTTATAATAATCACTTTTATGCAAAAAAAAATAATTTCTTTTTAAATCGAGATATTGTTGTAGGTTAAACAGACTAAAGAAGGTTATAAAAAACAATTAAATCTAGAATATATTTCACCAAAAGACTATGATTTTGCAATTTATGTAAAAAAGATGGGTTTATTTTTTATAAAAATTAAAATTTTTCTATCAGGCGATTTAAAAGGCGAAATCTTAATGGCAAATAAGGCTTCAATATGTAAACATTTTATGCTTGACATGACAATTGGATATGGAGAAAAAGCTATAACGTGCTCAGGCTTGGTAAACTTCGTTTGAATTTTTTCTTATATTATATAGTGATAATATAAATTTTTTTTTTCAATAATAAAATATATATTATAATATAAAAAAATAGTAATATTTAATAAATTATCTTAAAATAGGCGAAGACGTGCAATAATTTCGATTCGAAAAGTTTAGAAGACTGCCTTTACATAAAAAATACGAAATTGGAAGAAATCGCTGATGTAAATAATGGATCATTATTTGATTGCATTTTTATTATTAAGAATTTTAATTTAATGAAAGAAAACCATGATTTCGTGAATCATGAATAACCAGTTATTATATATTTCAGATAAATTATTTTTATCGTTGTTATAATAGTATTAAGGTTTAAAAATAAAAACAGATGTTTCTTTGATTGCACTTTAAAGATTATGTATTTGAAAGTAATTTAGCATAATCATTATTTTTGCTATAATGAAAGTAATTAATTTTTTATTGTGTTATTTAACAGGTTCTTTTCTTTTTTTTGGCATGATTTTAATATTTTTTTAATGGACGTTTTTGACTACAGTTTTTAACATTTATTTCAATTACTGCAACAATCACTAAATTATTTATTTGTTATTATTTTATAAAATCTACTTACTTTGTCAATGTCTTTATTAAAGTCTGTACATCTTATTTGTAAAGCATTATAATAGCAATTCAATCTTTCTTTCTCTAAGACAAAAATTATAGGAATTTTCATTTAAATAGATTTAAGTTAAGCTATACCAAATGTTTAAAATTACAATAATTTTATATCAAGTAAATTATAGTTCGTTACACAATACTTTGTTCGCAGAACTTGTATTTCTGAAAATAAAATACAATATTTCAAATGTGACAAACTAAATTGATCTAATGTAAATAGCTTTAATCATTATATAATATTAGCGTAACTACATAATCTGTATATTACTATACATTGATACTAAAACCAATTGACATATTTAAAAAAATTATTGAATTTTATTTAAGTTAAATTTTTATCAATGAAAATGTTCTCATTGTTTTTGTTTACATCCCATTAAATTTAAAATAAGCATCTTCGAACAGTCCCATGTGTTGTACTGGAGTTTTCATACTCACTATTAATGCATCGTATGCAACTAATAGACAATAATGAAAATTAGTTTTTTGAGCGTGTTTCATAACGCTCTGGACGTGTGATTTAATTTATCTACACTTTCCTTTTCTCCTCTGTATTCTTCTACATTTTTTAAAGACTTTAACACATGTTTGTTCAGTGTAGTGATCTTACCATAGTAACATTACTATATTTGTCTGATTACCCAACTGTTATGTTAGGTGCAAAATCAGTTTCTCATTTGCTTCTTTAATAATTATATAATTTTCCTTCAAGTACCTCCTTCACGCAATGACTTTTGTTGTTCAAGAAGTCGTTCCAAAGGAGAAGGCCCGGGTCCAGACCATAAAGACTGTTGATTAAGCCTAGTCTTCATTTGATCTTGACTTGACGGATTAGATATTTGAGAACCAGAACCCCATGTATTGCCACTAAATAGAGAATAAGTATTTCCTGTTGTGGTTGATTGCACGGGCTTTTGATCCACCTATATAACAAAAGTATTATACACAAGTCGCAATATGCTTGCTTACACACATAAATGATTATAAAAATGATCATACATACCTCATATGCTCTAGAGTCTTCGAAATTACTTCCAGTTCCAAAATGTCTATCAGGTATAGAATTTTGTTGATAATTGTTACTTGACATTAAAGATCTATTATTCATGTTTCCAGAATTAGGTACATTATTCCAATTTTGGAAAGTATCTGCAGTGCACGAATCCTTATGTATTTGTGTTCCTCTTGCTGCTCCCCACCAAGCTACTGGCGGTTGGGGAGGTTGAGTATCTTTCCACAAACCAAAATCTGCAGATTCAAAATTTTGGAAAACTTGATAATTACTTGTAGACTGCTGCTGGTTTTTAGGTGTACCAATTTGATTTGAAAAAGGAAAGTCTACAATATCAGTATTTTTGTTATACATTGTTGGCGATAATTGTTTTTGTGATGCATGGCTAAAATTATTCTGAGTATAAATACCCTGATTAAAATTAAGTTGATAATTTGTTATATTGTTTGGGCTTAATGAAGTATTTGGTATGTTTGTAATATTAGCCACTTGTAGATTTTTTTGATATGTATTCAATGTTGGTATTGTAGAAATATTGCTAGCAATGCTTGTCGCTGGCATGTTAATCTGATTTTGTGTAGATATCCCATTTGATCTTACATTATTTGGAATAATATTTGGTTGTTGAATACCTAAATTGTGATTTTGCTGCTGTCGATTTATATTTATATTTTGTTGTAGACCAGTATTCGCAGTTTGTTGTACATACATACTTTGAGATATGTTTGGCATAATACTTTGCTGTGCAGTAGACGATATTCCTACATTTTGCTGCAATAATGAATTTTGAGGTACATTTTGAACCATTCTTTGAAGAAGTGGTCTGTTCTGATTCATGATATGCTGTACACTCAAATTTTGAGCTATTGTCGGAGGTGTTTTGTTAAGTTGTCCCTTTAGTGCATAATTTGGCATATTTGCTATGTGTCCAGACATAAAGTTTTTTGTGAATTGTGGGTTCTGTACATTAAAAGATTGACTTTGATAACAAAGTGATCCTAAGGTTTGTGACTGCTGACCAAATTGAGATAGGCAGGATGCTTGCAGTAAGGTATCTGAAGATTGTTCTTGAGAAGGAACTTGATTAACCTGTGGTGCCGGTTGTATTTTTGTAGATTTTAATTGATTTGAATTGGATGTAGGTTGACTTTGAATTGCAACCGTAGCACATGGCATTAGTGAAAGTCTATTTTGAACAGTGCTTAATGTATTTGTATTCACTTTTGTTGGTTCTGTAGTTATTGGAATGTTCTTATTTCCTGTAGGTTTAATTGGAGAAGCAGTCGAATTTGTTTTTACTTTATCAGTTTCTTCTTCGATACATACTGGTGAAACATTTTTAAATGTAACTTGCTTTTGTTCTGTTTCTGCACGTCGCATTATAGCTTGCATTGCAATATTTTGCCTTGGTTTTCGAGTCGAAGGTAAAGAATTTAGCTCAACAATATTAGTATCTGTGGTATTACTTATTGAATCTCTATTTCGCTCCAAAGAGCCTTGTGGCTTTAGAATACCTACTCTTCGTTCCTCTAATTCAGTTAAGTAAAAAGAATATTATAAAAATATTATATATACAATATATACACTAATATAAAATTATTTAAAATCTCTTATAACTAAAGTAAAACTTACGAGCATTTTCTGTTATATCAATTTCTGCAGATCCTTTGCTACTAGCTGATTCAGATAATACTGGACTAGCTGGTACGACTGGTTTTTCCTTACTTAAGCTGAGTTCCTCAAGTTCTTTCATTAACTCATTACTTGGACCAGCACCTTCACTCAGCGGTATAAATCTATTTGCTTCAGCTTGGTCACTCATTACAATGGCTATTAAGGGAGATCCATTAATTTGATATTGCGTTAAAAAATGCCCCAACTGAATTAAACGGACAGCACGAAGTTTATTTAATGTTGCAATGTCATCTACAATATCAGTATTTGTGAATTTCAAATTTTCAAAATTTTTTTCTAACGGTAAGAAGCCTTGCAAGTCCCGATCTTCTGGCAGTGGTACTTTAATATCTATGAATGAAAACAAAATACAATGAGTTATTAATTGAATACTTTCTATTTACTATCTAATGATAATGTAACTTACACTGATCATATTTAAAATCCACAATGGATTGTTGCAGAGCATTTAATAGAACACAAAGACTGGGCCAAATTTGCAGTCTAGAAGTAAATGCTGTCTCTTCCAAAACTGTAGGATTTATGCGAATCCAGTCAAGGCACAGTTTTACTGTAAGAAGAAAGTGTATAAAATGCAAATAATATATATATATATATATTTCAGACACATAACACACACATGGAAGATAAAAGTTACTTACTGGAAGGTAAAGCAAAATATTCAACAATGTGATTTTTTATAGTATAGACAGGTAACAACAATGCAGCTAAACTGCCAGAAATAAAATCTAAAATACAATTTTTAGCAAGTTTTTCATCAGTAGACAATTGGTCAGTTTTTAAGAATTCAGCTGCATCTGAAGTGATTCCTGTCGTATGCTGAAGAGCATATAAATTTATCACCAACATTTGTACAAGCATCCATGAGCTAAAACTTTCGGTAGCCACTAATGCTGTTAATGTCTCTGTTAATAATTTAACATATGAGGATGCAATTTTTAAATCTCCAAGATTATGTATAATGCCATGAAGTTTTAAAAACACCGTCACATATTCTTGCGTACTTAATTTAGTTTTTCCTTCAATGTTATAAGACTGATCATTTAATGCAGACGATAAAGTTTTCGCAAGATTAGCTGTTGCTACAGGAAAAGGATGTTTCACAGTAACAGAACGTGCATAATGAAATACAGTTCCTAATTTATCTCCACGAGATGTTTCAAGAAGAGCTAATTGATTATATGGCTGTCCACTTGTTGGTGACAATGATACAGCATGTCTGTAAAATAATTCAGCTTGTTTGCTTTCATTTCTATAACGAGCAATGTCTCCTAAGTGTACAAGGCAATATTGGCACGCATAAAAACAAGATGATTTGTGAGGTGTTGATAATTTTTCAACAGCTTTCCATGGTGAAGTACAACCGTAAACATAGCCTTTCCTGAAATAAATTTAGTTTATGTTATAAATATTTTATTGTAATAACAATAGTAATAACTAAAAATAATAATTACTTATAATATCATAAATCATTTTAATATGTTATTGTTATAATAATTACCGTCTAAATGGTAGATCTAAATCAAAGGCTGTACAAATTTCTTGCAATAGTGTCAAATAAAATCCACTAGCTGCTTCTAAACACCAACTTAGTAAGGCTTGAGATTCTCCACGTTTTGGATTTTTTCGGTCTTTTGCTTGCGATTGCAATGTTACTATATAATTCTTAAAACCAAGATTCCAAAGCTCCTGTTCAACTTTCTTGTCCAAAGCGTACTCGAGATCCAAAATGAGTACTTGTTGATATATTTTTTGTAGTTGTTGTTGACACACCCAGGCATCATTATCATTCAATAGATCTTTACAACGTTGCACCTTATCCTTCAATGGTTCAGCTTTCCTATATAATTAAAAAGTATTATCTGTTTTAGCAAAGATGAGTATACAATTTTGTAAACATTAAATATATATATATATAATCTATATATGAATTATTTCTTTAAGATACACATATGTTTCACTCTTACTTCAGAGCTTGGACAGCTGCTTTTAGGCCCATATTCTGTGCACCCTACTCTTAAAACTGATATGTTTCACCTGTTTAACATTCCAATAACACATACATATATATGTATTTATATATATGTATGTATGTATATCATCTGTTATAAATTTGGTAAGAGTAATAAAAATAAATTTGTTTGCTTAATATATTATTGTGAAGATATATAGCTGTTCTGAAATCAAAATGTATTTCAGTTAGATAATATTCTTATTTTCAATTATGCCAAGCATGTTTTTTTTAACTTGATTTAAACAAATATACTTAACCAATATTTTACCCTTATTGATGCTAACACTATTTATTTCAAGAAACATAACATTAGAATGTATATTGAATAATAATTAGATGTTAATCATGACTTTTGACTCGTATTACTACATTGTTTTTGTAGTTTTAATGAATTGTCAAAAATATTATTTTGCAAAAATACACAATAAAAAAAGTACGCAAAGAAATTAAAGAAATTCTTAATAGTTAAAATTTAATAAAGATCGTCATATCGAATAAGTGCTTGTTTAACTAGTTTTAACGATATCATGGATATTATGTTTACAAACAATAAATTTAGTAGGGCATAAAATATTGTGCTACTAAACTCGTCAAACATTAAATTAAAAAAGCATGTAAAACTTTAGCATTTATAATATCCATTATGATTATAAATTATAGGTTAATTTCAATGTGGCGATAACATATCTACACAACGAAACAATTAGATATTAAAAAAATAAGCACTTGATTTTGCCATATTAACATACAAATATTAGAAGCTTCGAAAAGAAATCCTTAGATTAATATCAAACTCACTTTCACATATTTACGTTAAAAAGAATCATCGTCAAATACACGAAATGACGGATGAATGTTCAGAGTGTTCCGTGTATTGAAAAACTGCGCCGCCCTCGTGACAGATTTTCAAGTTACTTTTCCTGGAAAAAGAAAATATTAAAATTGTTACATTTCTAGTAATTATTTTGTTTTAATATTATGAAAATCAATGATTGTCTTTATACGTCGTAATAGCAACATTATTTTTTAAATATCTTTATTCTATTATATTCGTAGTACAATTTAACACTTATCTAGTTAATGTAAATATATTTTTAAACGTGCATTTATAATTTTACTAAAATGTTTTATTGTAAAGTAAAATTTCCATCAAGTAATTTAAAATTATATGAATATTTACAGAAACACTTTCAAAGTGTAAGTGTGATTCTTAATATTTTTAATTAATTTGCAAGTTTAAGTAAAAATATACATATGTTTATATATTTTTTATTTTGTTAAATGTAACATGAATCTATCATAGGTTCATAGGCAACAAAAATATATATTATACAATGTTTATTTAAAAAATAAAATCTTTTACAAAAGTTGAATAGTATTATATTTAATATCTTTAAATGTTACAAGATATGAAAATATAATAAACATAAATAAGCATATATATATAATATTTAAACAGTGAGAAATAATATTAGTTTTACTTCTAGAGTATTTCAACAACCCATATTACTGAAAACAGAAATATAGATTTAAAAGCTAAACAAAAAGAAATTATGTCACGTGGTTTACCTAAGAAAAAACCTATCGAAGGTGTAAAACAAATTCTTATTGTTGCATCTGGAAAAGGTGGTGTTGGTAAATCAACAACTTCTGTAAACTTAGCAGCAGCATTAAAAGTTATAGAACCTAAAAAATCAATTGGTATATTGGACGCAGATGTTTTTGGACCTTCTATACCATTAATGATGAATTTACAACAATCTCCTTTGTTAAATAAAGACAATCTTATGGAACCATTAATTAATTATGATATAAAATGGTAAATATATATATAGTGGTGTGATCATATGTTAATAAATTATAATGTAATGTTTAGAATCTAAACTTTGGTCAGTAGGTAAAATTGTTGGACTTTATAAATGAAAAACATTCTAATAGAATTTTATTTTATTTTAATTATCAATAAATATTAAGTATATTCATAGTATGTCCATGGGATTTTTGATCGATGAAAAATCTCCGGTTGTTTGGAGAGGTCTTATGGTAATGAGCGCCTTAGATAAATTATTGCATCAAGTAGCATGGGATCCTTTGGACTGTCTTATTATAGACACACCACCTGGGACTGGAGATACTCATTTATCATTGATCCAAAATATTTTTATCACTGGGGCATTATTAGTAACTACACCACAAAAAGCAGCTTTAGATATAACACGGCGAGGTGCTAAGATGTTTGAAAAATTAAATGTACCTGTTTCTGGTATTGTTGAAAATATGAGCTCCATTTCTTGTCCAAAATGTATGACCAAAATACCTATTTTTGGTAATAAAACAGAAACATTAGCTCGTGAGCTCGGTAATACATTGTTATAAAATATAATTCTAAAGTTATTATATATATATAAGTTTTAAATAAAATAATGCAATTTTTGTACAGGTGTAAAAATATTACAAAAGATTCCTTTGCATGAAGATATTATGGATAGTTGTGATATTGGAAAACCAATAGTATTATCTGCTCCTAATAGTGTCCAAGCAGAATCTTATAAAAAGCTAGCAAAAAATGTTATGAAATTTTTAAAAGAACAACCACTTATCGAAAAATGATTAACAAAAGGTATATTACAATTATTCGTATAATAATGACTAATCCCAAAGAGAATAAATGAATATATACTTATATAATTATAAATAAGTAATGAAAAATTATTTACACCTTCGTTAATTTGATTTTTTTAATAGAAAAATACAAAGGCAATAATAGTAGTATATTTGAGCAGATGAATCATAAATCTTACTCATTTCCCCTTCTATTTCATGTCTCCAAAAGTGGGGATAATAAAATATGTTGTAATTTTTTTCATTTTTATGTCATATTATATCTAGTTATGGTATTTCTTCGCACAATACAGAATTTACAATTTTCAATATTATCTTGGAAAAATTTATGTAAATTTATAATTTGACTAACATAATATACATATTTTCCAACAATACAAAAATGATAAGATAGCTGATCATAAATTTGTAATATGTTTTTTTAAATATGCATCACATTGTTATTTAATTTATTTATTTTCAGCATCTAAAATGGACAAAGTTGCTACCAGTATACATTCTAGCGTAGATGCTGAAGTATTTGATGTTCCTATGAATGTTATTATTAGACCATTTCCTCCAGATGTTAATGAAGGGAAAGTTCAAAGTTTGATAAATACTTTAAATAATCCAGAAACGGAATCTTTGGTACCACCAATTGATATATTATGGATTAAAGGCAGTGAAGGTAATATATACTGAGGTTAAAATGATATGTGTAATGAAATGTGTGTAATAAATGAAATGAGGTTAGAAAAAAATAGCTTTCAAATAGTTATAGGTATATTAATGATTGTAAATTCTGTATAGGCGGCGATTATTATTATTCTTTTGGTGGCTGTCATCGGTATACCGCTCATAAACGGATTGACAGACCGTTTATAAAAGCAAAATTAATTAAATCTACTGTAACAGACTTGCGGGCCTATCTTGGAAATTCTACTCCTGATCTGAAATAGATATGACATAAAAAATGTATATTTTTTCTTTAGCATAATATACACCAGGATATGTAAAAACAAGTTATTTCAATAAAATTATTGTCTTACCTCCTTAGAAACATTCATGAATCTGTTAATAGTTTTGTTAACTATGACCATTTAACTCGAATGTTCCTTTGGGCTGTTATCTCTTTATACATATCCATACATGTACATATACTATGCGCATACAATCCTATAAAAAAGTTACAATTGTAACAAAAAACAATCGGTCCTTAAGTTTACAATATGTTGTGTTGTTTAACAGCGCATCAACAAACTCTCTCTAAGGATTCAATTTGTATAAATTTATAAAAATAGCTTTAAATTAGGGTAATTTAAACGATACAATATGAAATATAGTAGTGTTGACTATCTGAATAATCGATATATCGAATAATCACCTGCCATGTACCCCAAAATATGAAAGACAGTGTTCATACAATTATAAACAAATGTATTTTAAAATTTATTTTTATAAAGATTTACAGTAAAAAGGAAAACAAACGTGCACCATATATTATTTTTTATATTATCTTTTTGTGCTTAATCTATATTTTAAAGTTACAAATATTATTAAAAATTTATTTTTTAAAACTTACGCGCGAGAGAGAATAATTAAATCTATATAACAAAGTACGTAAGTATTATATTATGTACATGTATAAACAAAATGCATTTGTACTTGCGCATATTTACAAAATTTCATAGTATTAAGTAGTATCAAATTTCACAGAATTACATGACAACCATCGAATGATAATAAAGCATTCTAATTATACATATTGTCATTATTATGAAATATATATATATATATTTATATATATTTAT